AAGTGAAAATTCCACTTGATTCCAACTCATTCATTGCTTCTAGAGCTTGTTATTTTGAAACCATGAAACAATTAAGAGATTCTCATGCTCAAATTTATTTCCAAGATGAATCATGGATCAATTTAGGTGATGTTAGAAAAAATATTTGGGTGTATGAAGGAAAAGGACCCCTTCGCCAAAATGATGGCAAAGGTGAGTTAAGTAGATTTTACCAGAGTCTTTTTTACTAATTATTCTTCACTGTGCATTAGGGAAAAAGTTCGGAATATCTGCATTAATCACTCCGCAAGGTTATCATTATGATTCTGTTGATATTTTTGCCTGTTTACAAGAACATAATATGGATAGTGATCAATTTGTCAATTGGATAGAAGATTCATCTGGGAAATTGCGTATACTTCACGGTGAGTGACGAAAATTCAGGCAATTGTTTTACTTTCCTGCACCTTTCTGTCTGTTTCTGTAGGAGATGCAGCTAAAATTGCAATTGTGCAAGATAATGCATCATGACATAATGTTCGTACACCAGAGTCTAAAGTACCGAAGAGATCGTGGCGAAAAGGACAAGTGCAAGAATGGTTGGATGATCATCATATTTCATTTGATAGTCGTTCTGTGAAAGCTGAACTGTTGAAGCTAGCTTTGGCTTATGCACCACCAAAAGAGTATATAGTAAGACCTATATTCGCTTTCTAGGTTACATTATTACTAAAATAAGCTCATCTTGTTTTCTTTACAAGACTGATCAAGCTGCAGAACAATTCAACGTACAAATTATTCGATTGCCTCACCGCCATTGTTGTCTTAATCCAATTGAACTATCATGGAATAATTTAAAACAATACGTTCGTGACAACAATGTCACATTCAAAGCAAATGATGTTTATAACTTGATCTTAGACTTTATGGGCACTCTTGATACAGAATTGGCTACGAGTTACTTCAAACACGTGGAAAACATTGAACAGACGTTTAAAGATGCGGATTCTTTTCTTGAAGAAGACGTTGATGCACCGTTTTTAGTAGAAGAAGCAACTATGACAGAAGAAGAAGATGATGATGATGAGTAATATTTGTTTCTTACTTGTACTTCTTTACCGATGATAAATCATGAAAAGAAGCATGTTTTTATACGATGTTTTATGTTTTCCTAAAGACAGCTTCGTACACATAAACAGAAAGCTCACATGCAGAAATTATCTAAACGATATTGGCTAGTCTCAGAAGCAGCTGTCAACAAGTAAAAAGGAAAATACAAAATAAGTTTCTAAACACAGCTGACTTAAACTCCAAATAGAAATTCGTCTGTGAAATATTCATCTTATGACAGTACCTTTGAAGAGATTCGGCTAAAAAATGTTTTCCACACTCTGAAAGCACAACGCCACAATGCTCAGAGCATCTAATAATCCTTGAATGTGACATTCGTGGCTTGCAATAGCTCGCATACCCTCTCAGTTACACAAAATTTTCAGTTTTTCCCATTAAAAATCGGTTTTTTATTGAACATTGCCAAGTATAAAGACGAAGTTCTGCACTACTCACCTGGAAAAACTGTTAACATACCTTTTCATATATTAGAAAATGTCTTTTCTACTCCATTACCTTTCACATTCCATTACATTCCTGCTAACAATCTATATATCAAGTGCTTTAAGAATTTTTGTTTGTGTACGGAACAGGTGGAAACATCCTTCAGAAAAATGTTTATAACTTTCGAACCATAAAAGATAGAGACCTGCGCCTTGCGTAGAATTGTAGATCTCGTTCTGAGCTATCCATTTCGCTAATTTAAAGCTGAATTTCATTATGCTCTCTGGAAATGGCGGTCTTGTCAAACTTACATACAAAAACCTACTATGGTAAATCTCATCGAATTGTCTGATTACTCCATAGTATTACGTGCCGTGCAGAGATCTATCCAACAGTGAAAACCACAGGTCTCTATCTCATTCTCTTCAAAAGTTATACGCATTTTCGTGAAGCGCCTTTTTTTCAAAAACCGATATTACGTCCCAATCCTTAATATGATAACATAATACGTGAACAGTCCTTAACGAGGAGACATCATTTGTCATCTCCTCGGGTACATTAGGACAACACCTA